TAAAGGCATCCCTCTGGTGGAACTCGGAATGCTCTCATTCAGACTGTAGAAATAGTTCTTGTCCTTTTCATTTCCCACTGACAATTCAGAAGTCATGCTGCATGAAGAACTATGCAGTAGTTACACACCCAGGGAGGGAGTGGGAAAAGATGTAGAATGCATGCCAGGAGAGACAGCAATGATACTGGAAACATCTTTTAAAAACATACTCTCACAGATCTCCACAGTTTTCATCAGACAATGAGACAGACAGAAAGGTTAAGGTTATCAGTATTGTATTTTATTTCCCTTGGTTGCCTGCCTACAGTATACTGAAACTTGGTGCATTACCACAGTTGTTGTTGGTACCTAACTGTGAAAGAAAAGCTACTGAAGTACAAAAAAAAAACAAACAAAAAACAAAGTCTCTTGGTCCCTCATGCAAAGAAAGAAGGGGCAGAAAAAAAAAAGAAGCTGTTACTGAGCAGTTCCACTCTTCCAGATGTTTATACTAAACTTCCAGATGTATTCCGTGCATTTATTGCTTCATTATAGAAAGGCAAGGGACTATCTTCAAACACAGTAAGACTCCTTTAAATCAAAATAGTTCAGACAAAAGGAACCTCCACTTTTTTTTTTATCTGTGCTCACATTAGTTTCCACATTTTGCAGATTAAATTGCGTCCCTACAAGCAAAGCAGATAATCTTACAGTCAGTGAAGGCCCAAAGTGTATTCTCAGTTTCCAGGAGCTTAAGGGGTGAGCAGCAAGGAATTCATTCTTTGCTCTGCCTCTGTCAGGGTGTAGCTGTGCTGCCCAGCCCAACAAGCACGCCTGCTTTTGGCCGAACACCACTGAGAACTAAGGCTAACTGCAGCACTGACTACAGAAGAGTTGTTGCTATTATTACCTAAAAATGTAGTTATAAAACTTCAGTATCATTATCCCACTGACAGCAGTCTCCCACCCTGTCTCAATGGAGAGCTACTGACTAATTACTGAGAAAGGACGGGCAAAACCACTTCACAGTTTTAAACATTCTGCAGGGGGACCACACACCAGTTTCAGGTTCGTGTTTTTTTTGTTTTTTTTTTAACCTTAATTATCTCTTTTGTACCATAATGGTGCCAAGAGAAAGCCTCTCAGACAAAAACTACCATCTAAATACAGAAGATTGTACGATCTTCTTATGGAAGAATAAGGAAGAGTTATTTATATTATGAAAACAGGAGCTATAAGCAAGGCAGGAGACCATACAGTCTGATCAGCACTTGTGATCTCTGCTGATACTTACCCACAAAAATAGTTTTATAAAAACATCTGAAAACACTTCACCTTTCATGTCTTCTTTCAGGTCACGGAAAGCTAAGGCAGAGCTCTTTTTTTTGGCCTGGAGCTCTGAGATTCATTGATGGTGTCTTCTACCATCAATGAATCAAACCATTAGAGTTGTCCTTAAAAGTAAAACACAGAAATGGGGAGGACAGAAGGGATGACACCAGCCTTCAGCTATTGCATCCACTGGGTTTCTGCTTGTTCATTTGATGGCTTGTTTAAACATAACACATGGTAGTGGTGAAATGCAAAGTGTCACTGAGCTGCAAGCTAAGCCAGATCCTGCTTTATGGCTGTGTGTGGTGTACAGATCAGCCTGCCTTGGCCCCAGCATGCAGGAAAAGGCATGCTCTGGAGAGAGATCTTTATGTTCCTTCCTACGTTCATAAGATTTCAAAAGCTGCCTTGTTAGATGAAAAAAAAAAACAAAAACACAACAGAAAGCAAAAACAAAAAAGCAAAAATAAAAAAAAAAAAAAATGAAAGAAAGAAAAAGAGAGATAGTAAAAGGGGGAAAAAAATCTGTTCTCTGCCTCTGATGTGTTCCTAGGTCTCGGCACCCTGGGATGACGCTGGGTGCCAGATCCTGACTGCTCCTGATGCACAACTGTCCTCTTGTGCATAGCCAGGGACATGGAGCTCGGTGCAAGAACTCTAACAGAGATCCTAAAGCAAGGATGTGTGTGCTTCCACCTACTAGCACCCACAGGTGTACCCAGATCCCAGCCCTCCTTGGCTCCCAGGGTTCCACAGTGGGAATCACTCCAGCTCCTTCCCCACTCAGCAGTGAGCTGAGCTGCACACACACCAAAACACTGCCTTTCCTCTCTCTGCCTTCAGAAAGTTGGTGTCTGCCTTCAGTGTGATGTATTAGCTTCCTCTGCATCATTAAGGAAGGCAGGGTGGTCTTTTCTTCTCTGTTACAGAGGCTCACTGATGCAGGAAAAAGCAGAGGTCATGAGATAAACATTCAGCATGCTGCTGCAGGCAGCCCTGGAGATCCACTCACCTTCACTGCCTTTGCCAAAGCAGAAACAAACTCTGCCCCTACAGCATTGCCTTTGGAAGGAGGTAATCAGGAAATACCACATTAGGGAATTCAAACTGTTGCTTGAGAAAACTGTAAACCAGATTTGCAAGCAGACTTCAAGCAGCACAAGAGCACCAATGCATCAGGGGTTGCTGCAGGTTTCCTCTGAGCGCAGGCTTTACCTAGCCAGCGCTTCCAACTGCTCAGAGCCAGAAAGCAAACTTCCACTGCAAGTGATTATTTGGAGATGTGGGACAGCATTCGTGTGCTGGTGGCAACTCATGAGCTTTTCTCATGGCTCAGCTGGTCATCTGCTAAATGCCCTGATATACAAACATTCAACCTCTGCAGTCTCTGAGGTTGCCCCCATCTTCATCTTGCAGCTGTTCCTGAGGCCTGAGAGCAAGGTGAAGGCATGGTTTTAGTTGTTAGCTCTGTGACTGAACTCATCCAACCAAATCGCCTGGGGATTAATTTCTCTTCGAGATTTGATTAAAGAACCCACTGTCTCTCACTATAAATGGTATCTTATGCAGATTAGCAGAGGTGCTACTGCAAAGCACAACACTGAATTTAGGGAAAGGAAATAAGGCCTTGCTCAAATTTTGTGGAAAACACTACATGCACTACCTGCAGCACTGATAAATTTTACTCAAAAGAATCTAAATGTGGAACCAGAGATACTGGTGAACTCTAGTAGCATTTAAATTTGAGTCACCTCAACTGAATGTTATTTAACCATGGGAGAACAGAGAAGGATGTAGTCACTACCTACACTGCCATTCTATTTCCACACGTGCTTCATAATAACTACAGTTTGCTGTCTATTCAGTCACTTGTATTTATTTATTCCTGCATGAATGCATTTTACTGATATCAGTGCTTACTATCCCCCACTCATGTTTTTAAAAGCCTGAAACAGTCCTTTTCCTCAGAGGAAATACTTCACTGGTTATGAACAGCAATTAATTCAGAAGAGGAAACAAGTATCTATTTCCAAGAAATCTGCAAAATCTAACTGTATTTTTTTTCATTTTCTTAACCACATCTTGCCTTCTGTGAGAAGGGAGGTAGGGGCAACTGTCCAAATCACAAGAGGTTTTACCCACTCCTACAGCCTCCCATGAAAAACATGAAGTTATTCTTTCCCTGATGAATAAAACAGAACACTTAGGACTATCTTTTCAATAGGTGAACAAGTCAATTGACTACACAGTTCACATTAAAAAAATATCACTAGCTGAGAAAACAGAATTTACATTCTTTAACTAAAATGAGAGTTGTTGCAGTGACTTACATCAAAGTTGGTGATAAAAGTCAACTGTCTTCTTTGTGCAGGTAATAAGAGCTAGAAATCAAAAGTTGCAGTGTAAAGCCATGGAACTCGGGATGTCAAAGCAAGAACTCTGGCTAAGTTTAGGTCCCTGGAGACTTGGGGACAGTTGCACTTATGGATAACTAGGCCAAGTTTACAACACAACAGGGGACTAGCATTGCAAGGGACCCATCTGCCCTGTTGAAGGACCTCATGCAAAGGACCTCCCCTCATAGCTGGGGACAGATAATTAGCACCATCCCTACCTGACTGCAGCTCACCATCATCAGCTGCAACAAAGAACTGAAGGAATTGCAAGGATAATCACCAGGGAGTGGTACCATCCAGGCAGTGCTTTTGCATAAGAAAGCAGAAAGCACAAGATCTAAACCAAATATACTTGTCCAAGAAGACAAAAAACCTTTAATCTGCACTGCGATATTTGCTTGATATTTCCCCATTTTCCAAGCCCTGAACCTTAGGGACCTCCAGAGAACTATACCAATACCTCATGTGGTATCTTTCCCTATAAATAAAGAGGCAGGTACTTTAGATGTGCCAAACCATACAGCAGAGACCTGAGCATACTGTACATAAAGACTTGTTTAACATGTGAAGTCACAGGATCACAGATCACAGAATTGTAGGGGTTGGAAGGGACTTCAAGAGATCATTGAGTCCAGCCCCCCTGCTAAAGCAGGTACCCTACAATAGGTCACTCAGGTAGGTTCAGGCAGGTCTTGGATATCTCCATAGAAGGAGACTGCACAAGCTCACTGGGCTATGTGTTTCAGTGCTCCATCGTCCTTACCGTAAAGAAGTTCTTCCACATGTTAGTACGGAACTTCCTGTGTTCAGGTTACAGGCCATTACTCCTTGCTGAGCATCCTTTCAACACAAGCCTCTAGCTTCTTTTATTTCAGACACAAAATATTACTTGAATACACACATCACTTTTAGCACAAGGAAAGAACCTGTATTTCAGTGCATGATGGACCCACTTCATTTGGCATCTTCTCATGCCAATAGGTGAACAGTGCCGGGGACAAGCTGCTAGAAAAGGTTTTAAACTTGCATTGCTCCAAAAATCCCTTCCTTATCAAGATCTTGCTATTTTCATCAGTTTCATGTTACATAGCTGGATGACCACATCTGTGATATCTTTTTTCATAAAAGCTTGATAATACCCACACAGTAATGAATGCTGGGGCTTCTTATTGCCCCTACTTCTTCTACCATCTCCCAAATGATGCTGACCTCCCAGAAGCTGGACATGCATTACTGCAATCACCTGGTAAGAAATAGAGCGGGGAAGGTAGAGGGGACAAAGTAAAAACTTACCAAGCACAATGACCACAGTCTTCAGGAGGCTCATCATGGTGTCCCGATTCCTGCGAGGTCCAGAACTGTGTCTGGACATTCTCATAGTCCTTTGGCGGACATACCCAAAGATATGAGCGTATAAGACCACCATGACCACAAAAGTGACCAGGTTGAAAATAGCCCAGAAGACCAGGTAGGAGTCACTATAGAGCGGTGCCATGTTGGAGCAGTGAGTGATATCACAAATACAGTTCCATCCGACACTTGGTATGGCACCCATTACGATGGCCATAGTCCAGATAACAACAATTACCACCACCACTCGCCGGTTGCTCATCCGAGTATGTAGCTGCATGCGAAAGACTGTAATGTGCCGCTCGATGGCGATGGCCAGCAGATTGGCCACAGAGGCTGTCAGGCTAGTGTCAATGAGACCCTGACGGAGAAGCCAGGTGCTTACAGTCAGTCTTCTAGTATTAGGTCCCGTGTTGAACATTAAGTAAAAGTAGGCCAGCCCTGCAAAAAAGTCTGCGGCGGCTAAGTTGGCCATTAAGTAATAAATAGGAAAGTGGAATCGGCGGTTGACATAAATAGCCACCATAACCAAGAGGTTGGCTAGCATGATGAAGATGCAGACGGTAATCCCCAAGCCCATTACGAGCTTGCTGACAGTGTTCCATTCAGTGGCTAGATATTTTCCACTCCGGTTATAAAAGAAGGCAATGGTTTCATTGTAGTAGCACTGTGGTTCACTCATGGCTGTGGACTGAAAGAAGAGGGGGGGCGGGGAAAGAGAGAAAAAGAACGACATCAGAACTGAAAACATATGATTGCCTCCATGGACAAGGCATGCACAGAGAGCAGGGAAAGGCACTGGACGGAGAAAGGGAACACGCTTCAGAACAAATTTACTTTTTCAGAACAAACAGCATTCCACAAATCACAAACTATTGCTCTGAGGATTCCAGTAACTACAGCCAGATTAGAAGCAACCAGAAATACTTCCATCTGCTCTGGGAATGAGCACGATTTCTGTCATAGCTGTAAATTACATAATAAACATTACAGCTTCTGTCCAGGCAGACCTCCTGAAAAACTCACTTAGAGAGACAGGCATGCAATTCATAATTAAAAGAAGTTAACTCTGTTACAGAACACTTTGCTTATGTTATGAGTGCACAAAAGCATTGTTTGGCTGTAGCTGTGATACGTGACACGCTCCTCAAAGAGGAAGAAAAGTTGCTGCACTTCCCTGGAGGTTTTAATTCACCCAGATCTTCATCAGGGACGTTTCTTGTTGTTCTGTTATAATCAGTTACTCAAAGTGCAATTCCCAAAAGCCAAATCTCATAAAAAGAAGCTCTTCAGACTAACATAGTGGTTCCTTGTTTAGGGTGGTTTATCAGAAAGGACTCAAGGATGAAATGATAATAAAAAGAAAACCAACAACAAGTTCATGTCTCTGTCTGAAGACACTCAGGAGACCTGTTTCTGGTTTTATTGCTGTCAAAACTCTATTCACTGAAATTCATTTTTATTTTTCTCAATGCAGAAACAGAGGAGTTATAGCAAGAAAACAGGTAGTACGCCCAAACAAATAACAGATCAACATCAAAATGTAAGAATTTTTTCCCATTAAAACATGCAAACAAACAAACAAAACAGTTTTGGACTGCTCCAACCATTCCGATGGAAATGCTTCAACTAACACAACCTTCAGGTTGAAACTAAAAACGTACACAATTAGGAAAAAAAAAAATTAGTAATTGTGGTCCAGTTAAAGAAGTATCTGATAAAAGATTTCCTCAGAATTACTCAAGGCTATTTCTCTTTGTTTTCATTTGCACCTATTTGTCAACACAACTAAGCAAATTCCAAAGAAGCAGTATACAAACCTTTCCACCCATAACCCAAACGCTTTACATAACAGCTAGATCTGTGCTGCAGAAGAAGTTTTTTTCTAAAAATGATTTCAGTTCTAAGCTAAACATTGATCAGAAACATTTGCAAACCCAGGATAATTAAGAACAAGAGTAAACAGTATTTTCAGCACACTGACTATAAAACTTAAATTGCTCCTCTAGGATACATCAATTCTTAGGTTAAAAACCTTTCAGCCTTAATTATTTAAGAATTTTTCAAAGTTCTCATATAGGATTTCTCCACTGCCCAGAAAAACTGATTTACAAGGCATACTTAACAAAGGGAGACTTAGCTACAAGACATCTGGCTTCAATTCTTTGCTTAAGGATTGTGTGGCAATAACAGGTCAAGTGTAAGAAGCCTTGAGGGAGGGAGGAAGTCATAGGAATGAATTAGTGGCCCTTATAAAAGCTTGCCAACATCTGCATTAATTATGTGGATGGCCTGGTTTTTGCCTTTTTGCCCTCTATAGGAGTATTTGGATGCAGTCTTATAATTTCAATTGCAGAGGAGGTCAGGACTCCAAACTCTAGTGAATGTTTGTTATCCTGAATAAATTCTCTCCTTGTCCACGCTTTTATTGATCTAAATTCTTCTTGCAGCTGCCTGCTGCCCATACTTGATGATTTTCGCTCCACTATTGCTGCTGCAGAGAGAGGCAGATAACACCTGGCAGAACAAATAATTCAAATGCAGAAAATTGAAACCTGGTAGATACTCCTTTCCTTTCTCCCTTGTTTCAATTTTATTTTGCAAATGGGCTTAGACTTTGAAATACTGCCCTGATATTGTAGCACCCTCCCTGCTCTCTCATATGAAACGCAAAGCAAGACAGGGCTCACTGTAACAAGCACCAAGTGCAGTGCATTTGTCTCATTCACAGAATGCCAAGCCAGGGCTGAACAAGTGCAATGCGCACAGGAGTATGTAAAATGCTGCAGACTGAGCCCTGTTAGGTTTGAAAACAGGACAGTGCTTAAATAACCCTGGGGTAACAGCATGAGGCTGACTTTTTTCTTCTCTCATTTTGAAGATGCAGTAATAAAATCCTCTGCTGGTGTAAAGGATTCTGAAAGAAGTTTTGTGTTCAGGTTGTGCTAATCTAAAACCTGGAATCCTTCTTTAAGAGCAATCTTTTCAGTCCCACGGGAAAGAGTAGTGTATCAGGATCTTGGCTGTGCAGGTGCTTGCTTCTGAGATTTGAACTGGGAGCTGATTTGTGTCCACCAGTGGAGTTTTCAGGTGCTGAAACAAATGGTCCCATTTGTGAGAGTGATAAGGAACAAGTCGCTGACCAAAGTTCAGACAGGGGACTTCCAGACGATCAGCTTTCTCAGATGCCAGCAGATATCCTGCAGGAAAGTTCTGACCTCACAGGTCAGCATATGGAGATCCCAAGGCATCCCATTCACGCATGAAGCTGCTGTCTGGAAGCTGCTGTCTGGAAGCAAAGGCTTGAGTAAAAGGAAAAATAATGTACCTCTGAGTACTGAAAGTGTTAACATCCTACAACAGCACATGCAAGCAGGGAGACCCAGCCCCTCTCCTGTCCCTGCAGGAAAAGGGGCAGGGAAGTTTATATTTTAATTTCCTGAAGTTTCACTCAGTGTGTTTCATTGCCTGGGTAAGCCAGATGTGCAGTGCCCTGAGATTTACCTCATCCACTTAGTATATCTCAACAGAAGTTTAAAACAAACTGCAAATTGCCTGTGTTAACTAAACACTGAAGACACATCTGTGCAAGGAAACATCTGAATTATAAACCAACAAGATAGATAAAGGAAAATGGAGTAACAGCAGGCTGAAATCAAAGACTTCTCTAACAATAAGAGGTTGATTTAATACTCAAGACACAGTTGTCCCACGTCAAAGAACAAGAAAATCCTGAGTACATGGGGTTAAGTCTCTTAAAAACACAAAACCCAGTCATAGCCATAATGCAGTGCACACGGACCAGAGAGCTCGGCACCAGTACTTAATAAATGTCACCTTGCTTCTACAGATGACACCTATTCAACTCTTGGTGAGAATAATGCCCTGGCATTGGTACCTCCAGCCATCATCTGCTACATATGTCCCCTCAGCTGTGGTGGTACACAGCTACGTTACCAGGGTGGCAGTGGGAAGACAGAGAAGAAAAGTGACTTTATCTCCAGTGTTTTGTGCTTCATCCATTCTTCTGCTTCCCTGGCCCCTACAGAATAGCTGAAGGAGTGGGGTAAGGACTAGGGCATCGGGCAGTCTTGCCTATGGGATGCTCTTGGGTGAGCAGCTCACTGTCACCTTCTCCTCCTGCTGAAGAGATTGGAAAAGACATTGGCTGCCCAGAGCAGAAATGTCAGAAGGGAGCTTGGTGGTGAGTGGCAGCCCAAGTGGGGAGGGCTCTGTACCTGGGGATGGTTAGAGTGCAAGATATACTGATTGTCTAAATGAAGTCTGCACAAGGTGCTTGAAGGACAAATGATCAGCTTGTAAACCACTGCAATCTGAGAGTTTGCTCCTTAATTCACTGAAAAGGAAAAACCCCCAAAGACTCCCCCACACCGAGAACATAGGCACACTGACTTCTTGCTGAGAGAAAGAGAGCTGAACATTCTTAGAATACTAAGGTCTGACTTTTACAGAGCCTTTAAAACTTGGAAGCCACAAAAATGTTTCCATATCCAAGAGAACACTTTAAAATATTTTAACCCTTTCCAAATGCAGCCTGCTTCTCTCCTTTCCCCTTATATTGAATTAACCTTGACACATTGCTGTTTTCTTACCTAGAACACAATGAGAAAATGAAAAGCCAGTTATCTGGCAAGGAAGCCTGAGGAAGATGACAGTTCTGCATAGAATAATATGCCAAGTGGAAGCCAGAAACCTCAAATTTGTAGAAGTCATTCAACTTGCATGCAACCTCCTTGAAGTCTATGAGACTCAGAGGAGACTCACCCTATACAGGATGAGCTTTTAATTCTGAGGTAGTTGCCCTTGGATCCCAGAAATAATATTTATTGTTCTCAGCGTTATCCAGAAATCCAGAAAACATTTCAGAGGAAAAGCAGAATTGGGAATGGTAGATTACTACTCCAAAATAGCAATAGGTGGCTTACAGCTCTATATTTAGAACAGCAAGCATTGACAAGAGAAGCAACAGCATGCTATAAGTTTAGCTAAATACTCTGAAATTTACCAACATATCAGGAAGGCTAGAGCAGAAAAGCTTGGGGAAACGGCCGTTCAAAGTCCTCAAAATCAATAAGATTATCAAGTAAGAGTATTTTTAAAGTAAGCATAGAAGAGTACATTTAGGAATAATTGAATGAATATGTGAATAATTTCTCAAGCTGCAATTGCTAAAACAAGGACTTTATAAAAGTAAAGTTGTAACAGATGAGCAAAAAATCCAATTTGAAGAAAAATCACTATCTAATGAAAAGCATAACCTATTGTTCAGAATGCAGAGGAAACAAGAGGTTCGAAAGTAAAGGGATAAAGGTATTTCCTCTGACAATAAAAGTAGAATTTGAAAGGGGCCATTTACCCAACATGGCAAAATCAAGGAAGTCTTGAGACAAGGGTACTGATTCATCATAGCCTTATGCAATTATTTATACCTGTAAAAAGAAGTATAACACACTAACACCAAGAGGCAGTAGATCTTCACGTACCCTTTCCAGAATGGCATTAATTGTTTGATAGACTGGAATAAGATTTGTATGTTAGATTTGGTGGTTCAGTCACAGCAAGCCACTTCTTCACTTCACTAGAAACATTTTTCATTTCTCACAGCTGAAAAGGTAGGAAAAAGTCAATCCCTTTGCAAGGTGTCCATTCAATTCTGCTGTGACACGA